GCACGAACAATGAATCATGGAACACTTCATCTAGAACTAATGATGTAATGTATGGGGATTAACATAAGAATAAAAAAAAAATTAAAAAAAAAAAAATCTCATATGTATTTACATTGCTTGCATTATGAAACTAATGGTGGTTGACTGTAGGGGTGATGATGTGAAATTAAGATGTGTGGTATTAACCACAATGTGGTCTATCCTCTTTGAAGCAGAGAATGCAAGGCATCATACAATAAAGTGCTAAATCCTGTGAGTCAGCCTTTTTTAGCATAAAGTACTTATTCTCTGCCTTGTACCAATAAGAATTTGAGGTGACCTACCCCCTACTTATACTCCACTACCACATATATCCTATAAATTATAATTCTGTATAGATAAAAGACAGCAGAAGAAAAAGTAGAAAAGAAAGATAAGACCAGATGCTCTAGTTCAGAGGCAAGAAAGAAAAGAGGGCAAGTTTGATGGAAGAAGTCGACTGAGATAAGAATCAGCCAGAAAAAAGAGAAAGGCAATGCACTGGGCAATCAGCAATTTGTGCAAGAGGACTTTTAGCATTTATTTCTCCATGGACATTTGCTACATTTTGCCTTCATCTGCCTCAGGTGCCACTTGCTGGTAACCGCAATTACCCTTCATCTTCTCTACTTCTTTAAGGATCTTCCCCAACCAGAGTCTGGCCACTGAAGTATCGTTCATCTTCCAAACACCCTGTCTTGCTTGGTAGCTCTTCAACTCACATCTCTGGTTTTTAAGATAGGTAGGTAGATGAGTAAATAGGTGATGATAAGTAGATGATAGATAGATAAATAGATAGATGATAGATACATAGATAGATACATAGCTAGATAGATGATAGATAGATACATAGCTAGATAGATGATAGATAGATAGATAGATACATAGCTAGATAGATGATAGATACATAGATAGATAGATACATAGATAGATACATAGCTAGATAGATGATAGATACATAGATAGATAGCTGGATAGATAGATATAATAGAGTATATATTTCTTATTTTGTAAATTCTGTTATAGTGAAATTCCACACATAATTTTCATGATCATGGAAACTATTGTGATTTTAAGGATGTTTTAATGTCTCACCATTATTCCATGTAAACTCAGTAGTATCCCTCCATCCCAGGACACCGTGAAGATGCTATGTCTGAGACAGAGTGGTAAGGTACTGAGGAAGTGTATCTCATAACTAAAACACCTCCAGGGAACGTGGTACAACAATTCCCCCACACCATGCCCACATCCAATAAACTCCATTATCGTGTTCACATGTCTGTGAGGTAATTTGTTATGAATATAGTACCCTTTATGTGGCTATAACCCCGAAGAGGCTTTGTACTTTTTAGATCTAGGTTTGCTACATTTTTACTGTGTAACAGTCAACATTTGTTAAAATACTTTGAAGTGAGATAAATTATTTACACAGGCATAAATACCTTCCTTCATATTTCTAGTTATAATCTGTAGAAAATTCAAGGTTAATTTAATCGTATATGTTTTAGTCTTCTTTTTAAAAAAAAAAAATCTTTTAGGGGCCATTAAATATTTGGGCCCACCCAAAGGATGGGATTAAAAAGATAGAATGCCATTATCCTTGAGACAATGAAAATAAACTTATCCAAATATGAATGGGAAAGTAAGACTACTAAGAAGATAAAACTAAGTCTGAAAAATCAAATTTAGGCTAAAAGAATGATGAAACTAAGAGAAGGTAGAGTAGGAACCACACAAAGAAAGGGAAATGAACAAACATGAGAATGCTCAAAAACAATTACCAAGGAGATTCAGTGAAAATAAAGTCGATTGCAATGTGAGTTATAAAGGAGAAACATTTAACTGTGTTGAATACATTTAAGTATTAAATATTTTTTAAAATTCAGTGATTTCAAAGACTTGTTTGATATTAGAGCATAAGAAACTGGAGAAAGTCCAAAGAAATGAATAAAGACTTCATAATAAAATCCAATTATAGTTTACAAAAAATCTTAGAAAATTTTTTTCCAAATACATAAAAACATTTAATGAATCAAATGGAGGGAATATACAGTTGACTTGTTTGTCAAGTACAAACAGTCAAGTATAAAGAAGAATCATTCTGGAAATTTTCTCACTCATTTGAACCAGTATTACAAATGAAAACTTGAGCCGAACATTAGGAAGTTTTATGTTTTCTCTGATTTAAAAAAGAACAATGATAAATCGATCAGTCAAATGAGGTACTAGGTAAAATGACAAGAAGATTTTTTAATATGATAGCTACTCAATACTTTTATTAATAACTATTTTTAGATTATCTGCTAACAGGAGAGCACTTGACTCTGGGGCAAACAGATATGGATCCAGTTCCAGAACATTAAGCAAGACAGCAAATTTAGTATAAACATACACAGAAAATGCAGATATTTTTCCTTAAATTGTCGAAAAGTTGGACCAGTGATTGCGCTGAGGTTGAAAATATTTGATGTTATCTCTGAAAGTACCCGAGCAAAGGACTTTTGTAAAGAATTTATAGGGGCTACGCTAGCAAGGAGATGTTTTAATAAAGAAGGCAGAACTCATCTCTGAGCGGAGAAAAGGCAGAGTTCCCCCAGGGACAGCTGACATTCTGGTGAGGGAAAGGTAGAGAAGGTCCACATCTGTGCGTTGCGCTGTAGGGTGACAAGAATGACATAAGAAAAAGGTTAACTGTGGGTAACTTTCTGTGCAAACCTGAGAAAAACTGACCAAAGGGAAGTTGAGATATCACTCTGATCAATTAGGAAATAATTTCAGGCTAGGGTGCTCAGAGGCTCTAGGCTAACTCTGGGGTGTCCTGGATTGAGGCTCCTGCTGTGAGTACCTGGTTTGAGTAGCTTGAGGTCCTGCCCTTCCATTCCCTTCAGTTTTCTGTCCAGCTAACTTGTAAGAGCTCTCTGTGGTGGACCAGACATCTGTAAATGAGGAATTTTGGCAAATTCACTTCTTAACACATTTTCAATTTTACCATTTTATTGTTTTAGTAATTAATAATAATAACAATATAAGTATTATGCAGTTCAAGTTAAATATTTCCACACCATCGAGGGGCACCTGGGTGGCTGAGTTGGTTAAGCATCTGCCTTCAGCTCAGGTCACGATCCCAGGGTCCTGGGATTGAGCCCCACATCGGGCTCCCTGCTCAGTGGGGAGCCTGCTTCTCCCTCTCCCTCTGTTGCTCTCCCTGCTTGTGCTCTCTTGCTCTCTCTCTCTCTCTGTCAAATAAATAAATAAAATCTTTAAAAAAATATTTCTACACCATCCATATACTGTGTCTTGATAAAATTCTTAGAAGTTCTATCAAAATTAATACATATTATAATTTTTATTTTTTTTCTTCTAGGTTCTTATTTAAATTCCACTTAGTTAACATACAGTGTAATATTAGTTTCAGGTGTAGGATTTAGTGATTCATCACTTACATACATATTGTAATTTTTAAACCAGGTAAGAATGTCAGAACTCTGGATGGGCTAATCATTTGATACTTTTGGTATTCTTTAAATGTTCTCTTAGTGTTTTATTTGGAAGAAAGGTTGAGGGTTGGGGCATCAGGAGAGGTGGGTGAGGTGACACGTATGAGAAAGGGAAGTCAACACTGCTGCAGACATGAGCAGACCTCCGCTGTCCCAAGCAGTCCATGGTGCTTCTGAACTTGAATGTCCCTACCAGCATCTAGCAGCCTAAACCCTGCAGTTAATTGCATTCATCCCTCTTAGGAGTGAGTTGAGCACTACTAGTGGTTATGGAAATATGTCTCTGTGGGTCTTCATCCCCTGTGGCCTAAACAGCTACCGAAAGTATCCCTTCAACCTTACATGGCATGTTACTGTATTGCATTGGCTCTAGAGAAAGATCAGCCGGTTCAAAACCAGGCATTATCTCTTGTTCTCTGTGAGGTTTCAGTCAGAACACTTAATCTCTCAGCCTTATCTTACTGAAACATTAAAAGGGGCAAAAACAAAATAATAAAAATAATAATAATGATAGGAGGAGGTGGTGGATGAATCCATCATAAGATTGTTTTTAGTATTCAGTGAGTAATCCCGTAAAACTCTTAGAAGACAGCCTAATGCCTAACACCTAACATGCACTCCCTAGATGAATGTTAGCTCTCATTAAACCATGGTGTTCATTCCCTGTGACGAGTTCCAGCAAACATCATTTTCTTGATTTCGGTGCTTTATTAGTGACATTATAATGACACTTTTACAGAAGTCTTCTCCAGCAGCTACCCAGTGCATTGTCCCTTAATTCAGTCCTAAAATCATATTGGTCTATTTTCTAACAAAATAATCTCAACACCACTACCTAAGTCATGCAGTGTCCCTGAATATTACCTGCACCTGCCCTCCTTTGGGGAAAGTTTGCTCATTTCTAAAAGGAAGGTAGGGATAGCTAAGTAACAGACTTGCAAAGATTATGTGACATGATGTGTACTTAGCACAGTGCTTGACACACAGCAGCACAGAGTACTTCCTTTATCTCTCATTGTACACACACACACACACACACAGAGTACACACCCTTCCTTCCTTCTTTCTTCCTTCTTTCCTTCCTTCCTTCTTATTTGTTGTTCTTTTATGTTAAAAGTCATCTTCTCTTACTTTGCCAGGTACTTTTATTTTTTAAATGGTTCCTTCCATGAAAAAGGGAAAGATATTGACATAATCATTTGATTTTATATGGTAAGTCATCCTTCCCAATTTGTCAGCACTCATTGAATTTGTATTTTAAGTATGGAATATAAAGGTTGAATCCATTAGGGGCACCTGGGTGGCTCAGTTGGTTAAGTGTCTGCCTTTGGCTCAGGTCATCAAGCCCCGTGACCATTGCGTTCCTGCTCACCTCCCTCCCTCACCCTCTGCCCCTCCCCCCAGCTCATGTGCTCTCTCTCTCTCTCTCTAATATAAATAAATAAAATCTTAAGAAAACAAAAGATTGAGTCCATTAAAAGAAATCATGTTTCAGGGAGTAGATAGATATTTTAAAAAGCAAGTAATGCTTTTTTTGACCTCTGACATTATAGGCATAAAGCTGATTTTGAACATAAAACAACAGTACTCAGTCTGGATTCTTGAAGAGGGTAAGGAAAAAAAGAATGAGATGTCTGGACCTGTATTCTCTCTTCAGCTATTTTTTCTGTCCTGTATGTCTGCATTCTTCCTCCTTATTCTTGTGGCTGAAAATTTCCCAGCCAAGACCTCCTCCTCTGCCTCAGCTACTTCCTCTACCTTCCTCTCATCTTCCTACCTGTACTGCAACATGGTACTCATGAAGTTGCTCTTAATCCATTAGGTGGAATTGAGGTCCCAAATTGTGATGGTTTAAAGCACTAGCAACAGATATGAGGTCCAAGAGTGGATTGCTCTGTATTCCCTGAGGTGAGAAGAGTAATGTAGGAAAGAGTTGATAACATGAAAATCCCTATGTGGAAACTATGAAAGTCAACCCTGGTACAAGATTGGGAGCACAACAGTGTACCAAACATTGAGGAGTACAAGTCAGGATACTTGTTTTCATGTGTGTCTGTGTGATAATGAATGAGGCTGGCTGATGGGTTGTGGTATATGTGAACAAATTCAAATTGTTACATAACCTTTGCAAAAACTGTTCAGATCGATGTTAATTACAGATATTACAGCACTAACAATGTGAAAAGAGAGAAACTACACATGTGATGGAACCATATAATAATGTAAAAATTAATACCGTTTATGTCATTGTATCATTAAGCGATTTCTGCCTCATCATCACCAATGACATGTTTATTCATACCATATATGTTGGACAGACGGTTTTAACTTTGTTTAGTTGTAATAAATTTTATGTTTGTTCATCTTCTGGCATGAGTAACTTTTATAAAGGAGAACTTGCTTAGTGGTTGTGACTTTGCTTCAGTAAATTTAAAATTTATCTTCACATCTGTGAGTATATACAATTCCATCCAAAACAGTGAACTCGTCCAAATTAACTTTGGGGCCAAAAGACAGACATGAAATGACAAGTGCTTGCATCAAATAAGAAAGTAACTTCAGTCAATAAACATGAGTTTGACTATTGTCCAGATTTATTGAAAAATAAATTATAGTTGTATTGTCTTTATAACTTAAATTAGTTCATAAAAACTCCTTTATTCAGCAAATATTTACCAAGAGCCCACTTTATACCAGGCACTGATATGTCCTCTGGATATATAACTCTGAAAAAAGAAAGCCTGTCCTCTGAAAGCTAATGTTCTAGTAGGCAGAGACAAAAAACAAATACATAAGTGCTATGGAGAAAAATTAAGCAGGTAAAAGTTTGTGGGATATAAAGTGTATTATATGTCATTAATAAAAAGCCTACTTATTTTATTTATTGAAATATTTTAGTCTCACTTTTAGAGAAAACACAAGGAAAATCCTTCTAGTGTTTCATAATTGACTATGTCTTAGAGTAAGATATAACCATAGTGGTCTTTGACAAAAAAACCTCACTAAACACTGCAGTTTGTTAGTCAAAAGTCAAAGAAAGTGGGCAGAAATGCTGCTAAAAACCTGCCTAATGCTCTTTTTGAAATCTATGATTATGAAATGTAGTAATTACTTAAATATGAAAATATTCTTTTAAAAAAAAGATTTTATGTTTTTATTAGAGACAGAGAGAGAGCGAGAGAGGGAACACAAGCAGGGGGAGGGGTAGAGGGAGAAGCAGGCTTCCCACGAAGCAGGGAGCCCGATGTGGGGCTCGATCCCAGGACCCTGGGATTATGATCTGAGCCGAAGGCAGACGCTTAACAACTGAGCCACCCAGGGGCCCCAAATATGAAAATATTCTTGACACTGAAATAATCCTTTTATTAAGAAGGATGTCTCCTGCTATCAGTAAGTAGACTGAGTTTGTTAACACTAAAAAGGAATTCTGGCAATTGAAAATGTCTTCTGCTTTTAGCTGGAAGATGGAAGCTTAATGTATAATCCGGAAGTCTTATTACATAGAAGTTATTCGCTGGTGTATAAATCCTTTGGTATTTTAAATAAAACTGCATTTCAGACACCCTCATTAGCACAGGAAGGAGATTGGAAATCATACACAATTTTGGAGTGTTTGGGAGAGGTAGTGCTCCTGAGCTTCTGCGGGGTGCCAGGCGGGCGTTGCTCTCAAAGCGGAGAGAGTCCAAGGCATATGAAGACAAAGCTTCCATGCTGTCCAGTTGACAGTGTGAAATGTGTTCAGATAAGAATATGTCCACAATCCTGTGAAAAGAGAGGTCTGAGGGCAAAAATGAGGCAGCAGGGGGGAGGGCAGGCAAAAGACTCCTGAAAGGCTTCCTTCGGGAGCAGACAGAGTGCCCAGCACACAGTAGGCACTCACCGACTCTGAGACCCTAACGCGTGCCCCTTCTATTCTTGGCCTGGGGAGATAATGTGAAAATACTGCAATTCCTGCATTGCCTGAGAAGCAGTCTGTTTGGAGAAATAGACAAAACTAAAAGTGGCAATTGCTTTAATAATTGAGCATACAAAGTGCATTGAGAGCTCAGAGACAGAAAGAATTTAGTAGAATTTCAAAAATAAAATACAAATCTAAGCATCCTAGGGTGGCTAAAAGACATGTGAACCCAAAGGATAGTTTTTAATTTCTATAAATCTCAAACAAGGGTTTTTATATTTCATATTTGTATTTTCAGTTTTACTGTTCTTGCTAAATACATGAATCTGTTCTTAATTCAACATTCCTTCAAGCACAGCACTTTCATAGTGCAGATTTTATTAGAGAACTTAACTGATACCGGTTGGGGGAAGGTGAAGGGAATACAATTTTCTCTAGAAGATTTGCATTAGATAGAGTAGTTACAGGCTGTAGCGTCTCCCCTGTAATTTTATGAGAATGGTATTACCCTGGCTTTCACTGTGTGATTGCTGGTTACCTT